TCTCTGCATATAAAATTGCAGGAAAAAAGTATTGAGGGAGTACAGGTATTTTTTGTGGAATAATTTTTTTTTTCTTTATTGCCGAAATATAAATCACTCGACTCAGTCGTAACATCGAGATTTTATTTCGAATATTATAACTAGCCGAAGCTAATTAAATAGAGAATTTCATATTTGAATAATTTTTGAGCCAGTGAATACTGTAAAGGGAACATTGGTGCAATTTCTAAGAAAATCTCAGCAATAAATTTATTTTGAAACGCAGAGAAAAATCAGTCGTACACTTATACAGGATAGACCAAAAGTTAGGAATCAAAATTTTTTTGATTTCGCTTCTATGTATAAGCAATGAAATTATTATCAGTCTCTGAACTCAATCATTTATTTGAACAACGCACTAATATATCTTATATACTTTTTTGAGACTGTATCAAGCTTGATCTTTTCTGTTTCAATTATATAGGAGTATACAAGATATATTGGTGTGTTTTGAAACAAACTATCGCTGCATGGTATAAATTCGAGGCTTTCTTGTTCATATATCGAGATGACATCGGAAACATTTTGTGTTTCCTTACTTAAAGCCTACATTGTATATTTTCCAATAGAAAAAGAGAAGTAATTAAATGTTTATATGCATTTTGTAGAATGGAGTAAGGCTCAGCGAGTTGCATTATTCTATATGAAAAATATTTATGAAGAAAAAATATTTTCGGATGTATAAGCTAATGAACCATATCAGTTTCTTGTCATTGATAGAAATCAAATTTATCATACCAAAAGATACAGAACACGTCATGCTGTATATATTAAAAGAAGTATTTAGGAAGTGATAGATGTTTCATTTTATTATTTGAGATACTTTACTCGATGTTTCTTCTTCATCTTCAATTGAATCTTCTTGTTCATCTTCAATGATATTTTCTTCTTCATCTTCATCTTCTTGTTTATTTTCTTTCTGTTCTTGTTGAATATTTGATTGAATTCCATAACTATCATTTTGCATTGATGCTGATGATTCTAAAGTATAAAATGTTTGAATTCTATAAGGAACATGTCTTTTACAAACCTTTTTTTTGCATTTTCTCATAGACATTTTTTGGTAAAGACCAATCAAGAGCCATTGGTCGACCTTAACAAATAAATCTAGGTTTTTTGATTTTAGTAAAATTGTTAATCTTTACCGAATATTTTTTGACCATTCATTGTTTGTATTGCTTTTTGTGCATCTTCAAGTTTATCGAAAGTTATAAAACCAAATCCTTTCGATTGTTCATCTAAATGAATGAATAATTGTTTTTTTTTATTTCTAAAAACAACAAGAATCAACTGACCTTTTTTAACAATAGATACATTGCTAATTGCAATACTAGATTTTTCAAAAGCTTTTTTCAATTGATCCTCGTTGACCTAATGGTAAAGAATCCATAAAAAAAAATTTTCAATTTTTATTATTGAGAATTTTTACTCACTTTGAAATTTAAATTGCGTACAATAATTCGAGGAATATGAACTTCAAAATTTTCTTTCTTTTTCTTTTTCTCGACTTTTCCATTTTTCTTAATCGGTTTCAATGACTTGTCTGGCGATTTCGAGTCTTTTTCTTTGCTTTTCATCTGGAATATACAAATGTTTCATGAAAAACTTTGAATCAGAGTCATTTTAAAGATAGATATATTCTTTAGTCTCTAGTGTTTCGTTCATGAAAAATCAAAATCTGGTTGTTGACAAAAGTCCACTAGAAATAGAGAGATATAGGTTAACTGAAACGAAAAATTTAATTGTCTCAGCTCTTCCTTCTGATTGATAGTTTTAATACTGCTGAAACATAATTTTGACTCTAATGAAAGCTAGATTTAAAATTGAAATGTATCATTGTTCATCCGTCGCAATTCAATATGCATCGATAGAATGAATCATCATTTCCTCAATTTATCCAATAAAATATGAAAATGAAGAAAGTCGTCATTTGAGTGGACAAATATGCGTAATACATATAGAGAAAGATGGCGCAAACATACATAGATTCTCAGACTTATCGAATACAGGCAATTAGAAATGTGTGAGACCAAATTTTTGTGGTTCCCATTCAGATCTAGAGGAAACTATTTCAGAATTTATTCAATCAATACTTAGCACCTATTCAGATTATTCCGCTGGAATTCTGTTCTGATTGATATGATTTTCTAAGATAATTCATTTAAGAGAAACTTCGCCAGAAGATCGTCGTGTAGAGTTATGTTTTGAATTTTGGTCTCTGACATTTAGTTTGAAAGGTAGTAGTGTATACAGGATGTTCCAAAGGAAAGTTTTCGTAAATATCTCTTATACAATTTGAGCGACTTAGTCGGTTTTTTTTAATTAAATGATAGTATATTCTTTCAAGTTTTATTTCATAAGAAAACCGTTAACAGATACTATTTTGAACTGTCACTTTTGACTTCAATATCCAAATGTACCCACTTTCGATTTCTAAACTAACATTTTCGAAGGAAATTCCCTGAGATACTTTATTGCAACCTGAAACGTTGGCCAAATCGAGGGCTCACTCAGACTAGCTTCTGTATAAAATTTCAGAAGTTTTCGATGTAGTTTTTCTGAGATATGAATTTNTTGTCTTATACTGTTTGCTTGTTTTTTTCTTGAAGGATTCGTTTGTTACTTTTTCACCAGAACAACACTTTACATATCTTATCTTCTTTCTGTCAACCTGGATTTTTTTTCATTTTATATTTAATTTTACCAGTTATTCAATTTACTGATAAGAATTCCACGTTGGAACAGTAAAACCTGCAACATAAAAAGAAGACGACGAATAATTGTAAATAAGAGAAAAAACTCATATTCGTGAAAGAAAACCACATGTGTAAGGTGTGAGACGGTTGGCATCGTTCAAAAATAGACAATAATGAACAATGATAGACTTCATTGAGTATTTATTAGAAAGTTAAATTATCGATAGTAAACAGAGCACAATTTTTGTTGTAGAAATGATTTCAAATTTTTTGTTCATTCTTGAATACATGAAACTTGCAATAATATGAAGATGAGAGAACTTTTTTTCAAGACAACATAAAAATGGATAGTTTAGAAAATTTGACACATTCATTTTATTTCTCCAATAGAAAAAAAGTAAGAAAACAATGGTTTTTTCAGTTGTTCATTTGAACTTGGAGTTCAAAAAATTGCTTTCATTGGAAGAAGAAAACTTTTCATAACTGGTTTTATTTGCTATGTAATGTGTACGAGAACAGCCAATCTTGAGGATGAGAGTGAAGGTGAGATTTTTTCTTTACTTACACTCTCGCAAACATTGCTGAGATAGATTAAATTTAAAAAAAACAAAGGAATTTTTTTCTAATTGTGTTTTTAAATCATTAAACAAAACATTCGTCAGAAAAAAGCAACTTTACATGCAAATGCATATTTAAAGATCTGTTTAAAATAAAAGCATCGACGTGAACTCATTGCCATTAAAAGAACCAATTTAAATATCATTTTGATATGCTCTAAAAAGTTTGGCTTTTGTAAAACTGCTTTTCATATTAGCTCGATAGATGTTCGTATTAATTAACTATAATATAGTTCAGACCGAATATTGCTCGTTTCACCAATATCTGTTGTATGATAATTAATTTGTTCGAGTTTATGGCTATACTAATAAAAGTAATATGATCCATAAAAAATCATTAGAAATTATAGTTGCCTAAATTACTCATAACAGATTGTTTCATCGAAAGATGTATCACCTGTTTAATTTATTTTGATATTTATAGTCGACTAACTGTACGTAGACAGATGTAGCATGCACTTAATAATAATCTCAATAGTTTCTTAGTTTTATCTTTTCGATGTCACTGAAAATATTTCCTATATCAATTCTATCTAATAAAATGTAATATTATATGAACTAAGTACTATTATGGTCGATTCTTGTATTCAAATACTTATTTTTTCTAACCAATAGAAAAAAATGATTCAAATAACCAAATATCATAACATTTATTTATTATAATAGTTCTTTATAATTAATTAACTATCTCTTTCATACAGTAATCATGTTTTAGATGTATTATAGATTTTAATTCTATCGTTTGTATGAAAATAAGTAGTCTTTTTTTCCAATTCATTCATTGAAATATGCCAAAACTAATCTACTAATAAAGAATGATAAGCGTATTCAATTCCTTAATATTAATTTCAGTCATTGCTAATAAATTATCGATGTTTCGATTAAACATACTACTATCAAAAAGTATCTAACTTCTCAATACATTACTAAGATGACATGTAAATTTTTTAATTAACATAAGTGCTCATCGACATACTGATAGCGAAAACAGAAAATTAATGAAAAACCATAGAAGCGATCTATATTTTTAGGATATCATTTTCTTTTCAATATTTTTCGTAGAGAGAAAATATTTGAAAATAATCTCTCTCTTGTAACTGCTTTAACAGCTAATTAGAATGTGGGTGAAGAAAAGATCTCCACAGCCACAGGCGCATTGACCCTAAATATTATTGAATTTTTATTTCCAATGTCAATTAAATATAAAATCAAAACACTCAACTTTATTTCAAAATATCAAATTTTTGCCATTAAATAAATACGACAACAACGATACGACTAATAGTAAAATCTATATTAATAATGACTTTTCATTTACCTTAGTTTAGTCAGATTCCAATAGGTTGCCGAAACTTTGAAAATTTACATTTATTCTAATTATAACAAATGAATAATACATGCTAAGTTGAATGGCAATTTTATGCAAAATTAGAGACGACTTGCAGTTAATAACACATTGACGTGAGATTTTTATTTCTACTATTAGACATGAGTCATAGTGTTAGAAGAAAAAAAAACAATACCTTGTACAACAACAAGATTTACGATGTAGTCGAGAGAACGAAAGACAAATACTGCTTTTTCTTATTCTTTCTGACAGATAAAAAGTTGCCATTAGCTTTTTTTTCTTCTTTATAAAGATAAGAATATGAGTTTAGAATTATTGGCAAACGAACTTTTACTTGATCTATTTGAATATCTAAATGCTTACAATCTTTTTCGTGTTTTTCATGGTCTTAATGCTCGTTTTAATCAACTTCTCTTCATTCAACTTCAAAAATATTATCTCGATTTTCGTTTAATATCAAAAAATGATTTCGAATATTTCTGTCAACAATATCTTACCATTATTAACAATCGAGTTATTTCACTTCATCTTTCCGATGATGTTGAAACACCAAATTTACCGCAAGTTTTTCTATCTTATGGCTATCGTATCAATCAATTCATTCATTTGAAATTTCTTTCAATTGACTGTATCTCTTCTTTTGATCTATTGAATCAAATAATATTTCAATGTCATGAACTTTCATATCTAACACATCTAAACATAATGATACACAACAAACAAGAACCAGAAGAAAACTTTCGTGCTTTCATAAACGATATTTGGAGTCTATCAAAACTTACGCATTGTTATCTCGATATTCAATATCCATATGCAACATGGCTCCTTGAAATGACAATGATTTCTCAATCTATCAAATATTTGTCTACTAAAAACATTTGTTATAGTTCATATAGTTTATTCCATTTATTCAAACATACACCAAATCTTGAACGACTTTATATAGGTAGTATGGGTCAATTCTATGATCAACATATACAAACAATCATTCCATCATTAATTACATTGAGTATGACTGCTCAATTTACATTACAATGGATGAAAAATCTTTTTCAACAAATACCAAATTTATGTTATTTAACACTTGAAATAAATAATATTTATTTAGATGGACAAGGATGGGAGAAGATTCTTACCAATTATTTTCATAATATTAAAATATTTCGTCTTAAAATGACAGTTGAATTTTCTCCTTTGGAAGATATAGAAGAACAAGTCGATCAACTACTTAATTCATTTCGAAGTCATTATTGGATTGAAAAACATCAATGGTTTGTTCGATGTGATTGGTGTCCAATGGATATAAATAAGACAGGTCTTCTTTATACGTTACCATATGCTTTTAATACATTTTATTATACAGATGGTAATCAATCGAAATCAACTAATTCAAATAACTTGGATTATTCTTTTCATAATTCATCGAAAATACTTCATCATACTAATCATAAAAGAGATTTTTCTAAAAATTGGATTCTTTATCCTGTTCGATTTTTTAATATTTGTCATCTTAATATCAGACTTCCATTTGATGATACATTCTGGTCACTTATTTCAACATTGGATCATTTAATTTCACTTGATGTTAAATTAAATCAAGATTTAGATTATTCTCAATTACAAGTATTACTTGATCGAGCATCTCATCTCTATTCATTGCGTTTTTATCATTTGAATGATTTCTCCATGACATCATTCAATATCAAAAGTAGATCAATTCGTCGACTTGAATTTTTTCAACATTTCGAAGTCCGTTTGCGTTATTTTAACAGTGAAGAATGTACTATTTTGGCTAATTCATCACTTGCTTTTCAATGTGAAGTTCTTATGATTGATGTCGAAAGTCGAGAAAATATTCTTGAACTCATCAATATAATGCCCAATCTTCGAGCATTAAGTGTTCGCTGTAAAGATAATGAAAATAATCAATATAAATCATTTGAAACAAATGATAATATAATGGAATGGTTACATCAACACTTACCATCGAAATATACATATTCAATCAATCGAAATTTATATAATATTGCTCGTATTAATTTATGGATTTAGAAAGCATCATTGGATCGAAAAACAAAAAAGTTGTAAATAATTTTTGGTTTTCAATTGTAATAAACTTTTATAAAATACTCTAAAAAAAAATTTGTCTACAATAAATAGAAAAAAAAATGAATTATATGCCAAATTTTTTGCTTTCTTCGAGTGAATCCTTTTCTACTTAATTAGTGCATGGAACCTCTTTCGTTGCTTTTTAAAATTTATACCCACGCGAAAAAATAAAATTGATATATTGAAAAAGTTTCAATTTTGATGTGGTAATACGTAATGGGCATCTTCTTTTATATCACATTTGAAATTATTATTCTGTCGTGAGAAGAACTGATACGCGGAAGAAATTTCTCGTATAATAAAGACTTGTGCCTGTACTATCACAAGGGAACCACCCTAAGTGATTAATCGTCTGTGAGTTCGAATCCTATGCATAAACTAGAACCCAGTGAGGTATGAAAAACCCTAAAAGGATAAGTACCCATAGGCCTTGATGGTGTGCGTGTGGGTGTGAATATAAATATGAACAACCACATCCCACTCCCACACCCACTCCCACACCCACTCCCACACCCACTCCCACACCCACACCCACACCCCACACCCCACACCCACCCCACTTTGTGTAAAACCTGTATGGATTCGCTCATGCACCGGACCAAAACGTGAAAGTGACTTTAAAATATAGAACTCGACGTGCTCTATCCAACGGACACCTTTCTAGGAGACACACATTCTGGAATCCCCTCCAAAAATGCTAATCAAGCCGGAAAACAGGATTTTTTTCGAAAAATCTGTATGGATTCGTTCAAACACCGGACCAACACATGAAAATCACACCATTAGATAGAACTCGACGAGCTCTATCGAATGAATATCTTTCGAGCTCTATTCCATGCTAGGATCCCCTCTGAAAGGGCAAATCCAGATCGCAGTTCAACATTCATTAGAATTAGTATTGCTTTTCATTTTTTTTTGTATCCAACATACAAAAGCGAACATTAATCAATTTTGTTTCCTTTATATTTAAGAGGGAAATATTTTTCTAAGTCTTCTTTTTTATGCTTTAGATTTTGATTTAGATTTTTTTCTAGTCCTTATATCTTTTTTAATTTGAAATAGTTGAGATGATAGTAAATCAGCGACATCCTAATATTTGATTCTATTTTCGTCGAGAAATTGTAAATGTGGAGGAAGAGAAAAGAAAATTATTGGTGAATAGGGTCTTATTTGTCTGAAGACGAAACAGTGAGAAAAACAAATTTTTTTTTCTGTTTATCCCTATCGTCATTCTCGTCTTATTCATCGATATATGTATCAGAGGTCCAACCAGGCCGCATTTTTGCAGGCCTGGCTGGCCTATGACAGGCCTCCGAATTCCAAGCCTGCCTGTGTCTGCCAACTTATTTGTGTGGCCTGGCCTGCCTAGAAAGACCTGTCTATTTTTCTTTTATGCCAATACCATTACCAGGGGGTGTCGCAAGCAACCAAAAATTGGGGACGGGTGTAGTAACTTATAAAATCCTATTTCCAAAAATGTTGGGTGAGTAGCTAGTGTTCTTCCGGATTTGAAAGTTTTTTCGAGATTTTTGCGGGATTCTTTCTGGATTTTCAGAATATTTTCGAAATTTTTTGGATTTTTTGACGATTGTACGCTTTTTCAGGATTTTTTCAAATATTTCTCTGGATTTGTCGGGATTTTTTCGAAATTTTTGGGGTTTTTAGGGATTTATCAAGACTTTTTTGGGATTTCTTCTAGGTTTTTCTGGATTTTTTTTAGATTTCTGCAGGATTATTTCGAGATTTTTCTGAGTTTTACAGGATTTGAGATTTAAATTCTGGATTCACGAGTTTCAGATCTGACAACACTGAGGTTAACTTATACAATCGTGCTTTCCATAGGATAAGTTTCATTTTGTGAAATACAATGCAAGACAATTTTTCGAATATTGTGGGGACGGGTGTCACACGCAAACCTTGACCATCACGATGATACAATAGAAACATGTAGTTTGCTTTACTTTTGAACGAGGTGAAGGATCATCAATAGAGATGGAAGATGAAAGATCAATATTACCCATTTCACGAAGAAAGACAATTAAAATGCTAACACATCAGTTTAACAAAAACAATAAAGACTTTTACAGTCAATAATAAATATCTCAACAATAATCGATAAGAAAGATTTTAACAACAATGAATAATAAAAAAATATAGAGAAATGAGAACATGAAGAGTGAATAGATAAAGCAGAGGAACTCCACGATTTGAGCTGAACATTAGTCATCACCTCAATCAATCACCATGAAAGCAGAACATTATTCTATACTTCTCCCGATCCCTAGCCTTCTCCCGATCCCTAGCATTACCCTCAATTTGTTAAAAAACTGTATATTGAAAAAAAAGCTATATTTCTAAAGAATATAGACAGGCCAGGCGGCCTGCCTGGCCTGGCTGAGGGGTCGACCTGGCCTGCCGGTGATAGGCCAGGCCTAAAAAACGCAGCCTGTGTCTGTGACAGGCAGTCCTAGTGACCTGGTTGGACCTCTGATACACATGTAGCAGAGAGAAAGAAAAGACAATACACTTTGATGACTAGTTTGCAGCAAAAATTATAGTTATATGTATTCTTATCTACTAAAAATGATGTGATTTTATCTTCTTTGCTTGTTTTTAGTAATGCATGTTTGCTTCTTTCTAATTATGTTACCTTCTATTTTTAAGATTTAGTAGAACTTTCAATGATAAATGTTTTTTTCGTCACTGTATAAATGAAATATGATGAAAAGAACAGGGTGTGGGTGTGGATGGGTGTGGGTGTGGATGGGTGTGGGTGTGGGTGAGAACACCGGCACCCACACCCACACCCATACTCACACCCACACCCACACCCACACCCACACCCATACCCACACCCACACCCCACACCCACCCACAGCCACACATTTGCAAGCTTTTTGTCATCTACCGAACCTTTTGTTGAGGTTCCGTACAGTTCCTTTTTTTTTTTACAGTGTAGAGGGTATTTATATGTACATTTAGGGCAGTGAATTTCGATGTCTGTAAGTAAAGGAAAAGTTCAACGGATCAAATTGAAACCTTGCGGGATGATTATTAGCATATAGCTGAGTATTTGCTGAAAGTTTCAGATAATTCTACCCTCATTTTCTTGGTGAGCCAAAATGCACCTAAATTGCCCCCCGTTCTTTGAAGTATTCATTATTCTTTTGTGTTTTTTAACATAAAAAAATGTTTTACATCAGTAAATGAAAATTAACCACGGCTGTATCAGCTGAATGAATCATCGTTTATTGTGCGCACTAGTTATATATGAGTAGCATACTTCGTGAACGAAAAGAATAAAAAGAAAAAGATTGCGTTATCAGTTCTTCTATTTTAACTTACTTTGTTGACTTATAATCAATAGCCAACAAATGAAAGTCCTCTCTGCTTTCTTATCGTGAAATTTTGCACCAGTTTGAACTAGAGATCTATGAGATAACAAAAAGTCAGTCCTATTGCATGTGCATTCTCGCAGAAGTTTGATGCGAACAATCGATTAGTCTTTAATTAGACATATTTATTCTTATATGAGGGTCTTCTATTCATTCTCATTTATCGTTTGACATGCGTATATGTACTATTTTTTAGATACAATATTTCATTGACCATTTAATTATCTATTGAATAAATCTCGTGTGTATACAAATAATACTTGATTCTCGACGACGAGTGTTCATCATGTCATGGTTGATATTTCTTCTTTCGTTCATTCTTTTTGCATCGATCAATCATAGGAGTAAGTGAAAACTGAGTGCGTTATCTAAAAGATGTCCACAAGATACCTTATAAATATTAAAGGCATCCGAAATAAAGATGGTTTAGAGGCACAAGCATTGTCTATGAAAAGTCATTTCTCAAATAAATCAGGCGACATGGTTGCACTTCCCAGAGTTACATACATCTCAAAATATCTATCACACATTATACCTGGAGCGAATACGTTCGTTACTTTCTCATCTATATTTTCCTAGGGCATGTGTTAGTTGACAGCAAAATGTTCCAATCAGAAGTAACTCAGAAACCGAATTTTCTAATAATTGTTGCTGATGATCTCGGATGGTCGGATACGTCACCATTTGGTGGTGAAATCAACACGCCAAATATTCAGATGCTCGCCGATGGTGGAATTCAATTTACCGATTTTCATACAGCCTCAGCATGTTCACCTACTCGAGCAATGCTATTAAGTGGTACAGATCATCATATTGCTGGTCTTGGTCAAATGGCAGAAGAAATTATAAATTATCCGGATATTTGGCAAGGAAAACCTGGTTATGAAGGTTATCTTAACGATCGAGTCGCTGCTCTACCAGAAATTATGCAAGATGGTGATTATTTTACTACAATGAGTGGCAAATGGCATCTCGGAATACCTCCTAAGCAAATTCCAGCCAAACGTGGTTTCGATGACAGTTTCTCTTTGTTGCCCGGAGCTGGAAATCATTATGCTTATGATATTGTCGAGTCATTCCTTCCACCAGTCTATGTACGTAATTCCACATATATTGACTATGAAACTCTCGAAGATTTTTATTCGTCCGATTATTTTGCTACCGAACTTATTAAAAGCTTACAGTCAAATGCTGCGACAAACAAGAAGTCTTTTTTTGCTTATCTTCCTTTTACCGCTCCTCATTGGCCTCTTCAAGCACCTGCCGAAATCATCGCCAAATACAAAGGAATATACGATGATGGTCCATCCGTTCTACGCAAAAATCGACTCATAACTCAGCGTAAATTAGGTCTTCTACCCGCTGATATTACTTCACCAGCTGATGACATAGCAGAAGAAGAATGGAAAAAACTTACACCCGCCGAAAAAGCTTATAGTGCCAAAACAATGGAAATCTATGCAGCCATGGTTGAACGCATGGATTTTGCTATTGGACGTGTTATAGATTACCTGAAAGAAAGCGATCAATTTGAAAATACATTTATCTTATTCATGTCAGATAATGGAGCAGAGGGTGCCAGTATAGATAGCATTCCCATCTCATCTACATGGAATCCAGAAAAGTTCTTCAATAACAGCTATGAAAATATTGGCAATAAAGATTCTTTTGTCTCGTATGGATTGCGATGGGCCGAAGCAGCGACTGCTCCTAGTAGAATGGTCAAAGGTTATATTACCGAAGGCGGTATTCGATGTCCCGCAATTGTACACTATCCCAAATTACGCACATCTTTAAAGATCAGCGATGAATTCACTACTGTTATGGATATTCTACCTACTGTCCTCGAAGTTGCAAATATCCCACACCCAGGTACAACATTTCGCCAACGTGCCGTCGTTCAACCTCGAGGAAAATCGTGGGTTCCATACCTACTTAATTCTGATGAACACAAGCACGTTCACAGTGAGTACGATTTTACAGGATGGGAGTTATTTGGTCAACGTGCTATTCGTCGTGGAAATTATAAAGCCATCTTGATACCAAATGAATCAAATACGGCAAAATGGGAATTGTATGATTTATCGCAAGACAAGGGAGAATTAATCAATTTAGCCCATGAACGAGAAGATGTGTTGAAAGAACTTGTAGAAGCATGGTTCATATATGAAACTGAAACGGGTGTCATCGTTCCTGAAGATGGCTGGGCTGTCAGAATGTCTTCTGATCTCGTCGCATCTGAGCGTATACAAAACGTTGTAGCTCGTATACGATATTACCTGGTTCCTCACGATGAACTTTAAAATACAGAATGTGACAATTTTTATGAGTCTTTTCCCTCGCTTTAAGGATATAGAATAAGAAGAAAGAAGTAATTTGTGGGATTTTGTGATTTATTATGAGTTTTGTGTAATTTAGTTCCAGCCTCGTTCATTATCTGAAATACAGAGTTAGAAAAATACATTGTCTATTTTTTTATGATAGAAATATTAATAGATAGGATGATCAAGAAGTTCTCGTACTTCACTGCATCTTGTGCAATGAAACGGTATTTCGTCCATTTGTCTACACTATATAATAGAGGTAAGAAACGAGATATTCCAAAGAAAATTTCATTCTTATAACTCATTCCTGAGGTACTGTTTACTTGGAAACAATAGGTATAAAATTGGTCCTCTTAGTGATTATCCTTGTTTATTTGTTACAGGTGCTGATTATCTAGGCTATCTTGAATCATCTGTCACCAACATCAAGAATGTGAAAGTTCAGTCATTGCTGAGTATCTCTAAGTAGTACTAACTTGGGTGTGGGTGGATATGGGTGTGTGCATTCTCGTCACACATAGTACATCCATACCCACATCCTTCCAGACTGACGGTAAATATCAGCCAGAAATGTTGTCAGAGAGCTCAAGATCATGGACACGCGCGCGTGTGCGTACAATAGAAATGAGGGTGTAAAGCGATTGAATCGTATTTATTGAGAAGCTAAGAAAAAATAGCATTCGCACAGCCTTTTAAGCATTTGACGCGATGTTAAACTTTCTTACTCGATTAATTTCGTTATCGGCGACATAAAGATTGCCTTGTCGATCGAATGACAAACAATCGGACCGATACAGTTGATTCGATTGTCCTACTCTTCCGTTTCCACCAATAACGACGCTTCCTTGTATAGCTTCCTTGGGCCAACACATGATTCGATCATTTCCTGCATCAGCTACGTAGACAGTGCCTAACTGATCGACAATAACTCCTGTAGGATTTGACAATTGTGTAAGGTCATTTCCTCGCCCTTGGCCACCAGCCACGATAATGCCTTCTGTTGTACCTTCCACCCATTTCATCACACGATGATTCTCCCAATTAGACACATAGATTGATTGATCTCTATCGACGAATACGTATGTTGGGGAATTGAATTGATTGGAACGATTTTCACTTCCGTTGCCACCTGCAACTACTGTTCCTTGAGATTCTCCTCTTCGATATTGTCTCACCTCAAATTTTTCACGGTCAACGACATAAAGAAATTCATTCTCGTCCATTGTCAAACCCACGCAATAAATGTTGGAGATATTGTTTCTCTCCTTGCCCCATTTCGACGAGGCCATCTAACCCCTCTTGCATTCGAATAATCACTAATGATGAGACTATCTGTCTCTTTGTCGACAATCACATCTACTGGGAAACAGGGGTGTGGGTATGTGGAGGTAGTTAGAAAGAAAAAGGAATCACCCGCACGCATACCCGTATCCCACACCGACAGCGATACCTCACACACCCACGCTCACATGCTACTGAAATAAATAAAAATGATATAAACGTGCAAAATCAATCTTCTCATTTCTTTTTCATTTTATTATTTCAAGCACACTCAACTGTATTCCTTTTTTGACTTGACTGATCAGCTTCCCAATGAATTTGCACAAATGTTCACATAGAAAAAAAATATTGTCTATGCCAATTATCTTAAATGGCTAATAATATTTCGTCGCAAAAATGGGTCTTAGAGATATTGATCACTTTTTATTGATCACGGTCATATTTTGAATACGGGTTACATTGATAAAATAATGATTGGATATTTAGAGAAAAGGGAAGGGGAGAGGATAACAACACAAGACTGACAAAGACACAACACATTCAAGTTTATTGTAGTATTGTTAGGAGCATTCATTTTGATCTGGATTCTCTTGATTTATAGCAAAATGCAACCTGATTTGGAGGATGAGTCGCAATCTGGACAATAACCAGCTCGACCATGCCTACAAAGCATGTGCAGAACGGAAAGACCTCTTTCAGGTTCAATAGAGGTCTTTGGTATGTCATTAAAAGGAGTCAAATTATCCGAAAAAATATTGCCTTGTGGTGTAGTAAAGTCTCGGTTCATCCGTAATTTTGTTCAGCTACTCTTCCAAAGATTGTTGTGGCGCAGTTGATGAAGTTCTTTTGAGAAATATTCTACTCTTATAGTAAAAGCACGGCTTATATGTAGGAGATAGCTAGTCAAGCTGGGAAATTTTCTGTTTGTATAAAGTCTTTCTTTTCATGTTGGAAACTAAATGCTCAACTAAGTAAACGTCATCTCAATGGGAAATTAATATTTTTTTCTTTCCTAAAGCAGCTATATGCATTTCTGTAGGTTGGAAAAATCCTGTTGTCATTGTAAAATAGAGAGGAGAACGATGAAAAGGTGGAAAATTCTTCACTTCAATAAAAAGAAACATGCCCTGGAGTTGATTCTCTTATGATTTATTTCCGTAAAATAAAATATTATAATTATCACTTGAAGGCATGTACTTTAAGTGACTTAGAATAAGACAATGCTTGGAAATTTCCTCAAATTTCTATGTTTGGTTTAAAACCTATTGGTGCAGTTTCTTTAGAACTGAAATGTGAAATTCACGTATACCTTTCAGTCTTTTTGAGCTAATATAACAAATGCATAGTGGAATTTTTCCGGGCTGAAGGTTTTTTCCAAGAGAGCTTGTTTTTCTCTTTGTATGAATACTATTATCAATATTTCGTTGTTTCTATCATTTTCTCGTTTTTGTTTTTCAAATTATTAATTTAAGTGGCAAATATAGCTGTTGTAAATGTTAATTGTATCTACGATCAGTGTCAACAAACAATTGATCAACTCTCCAGCATTAATGTTGGCAATATATGTACCAAAATTATCATTGCATTAAATTAACTTTTGTATGTTAGGTATATGAGAAATACGTTGTAAAACAAATGAATTACCTTTCATCGTCGTTGACATCTTAAGCTTAAATTTTTGTCTGTGACCAACTGAAAAATGGATTTCAACTATACGTGTTTAGAGAATGACATTAGAATATACAGAACTTTTGCACAACGTTGAAATAGTATTTTTTTTCTGTAATGAAGAAAGTGAAGAAGTCACCAAAACTGGGTGTGGGCATTGTTCTCCTCTTCTCTCACACACCCACCCATCCACACTCACACCCTTAAGCCACACCCCAAATGTGGAATCATTTTGATAGTATTGGTGTTAGACTACGTACAAATAATCATCTCGAAGGTTATCATGAACAATTAAATGCCAGAGTTAGAACAAATCCTAATCTTTGGACATGGATTAATGAAGCTAGATCATCGGAAGAATCTATTATGTGTCGTTATGAACAGGAACAAGCACAAAAATGAACAATAAGAGGAAGAAAAGGAAGATATATACAAGATGACAATAAACTCATGTGTGCAAAAAAACAAAATATACAAGATCAAGATTTCAATGCATATCAAAAAACATTACGATCAATTTCTCATCGTTATATTCATATTCTCAAAGATGCCAAAGAGAGTAACAACGAGGAATAGGATTTTTTTATTTATTTATTTGTGTTCTCAGTAAATATTGTTTTTAATAAACACTGTTAATTACTCGAGAAGAAAAAAATGTCCGCAATTTGGAAACGAGAAAAAAAAGAGATCCACATAAATTCACTTTTCCAAATTGCGGCCACTGATGTGTTAATTGGCTTTATTTTTGTCCGCAATTTGGAAGCTACGCCTACTGCCACTTTTGGAAACATTTCGTATCCATACACATGTTTCTCGTCAAAAATCGACATTTGGATGAAGTCTTGTCCTTAAGATCGTTTCAAATCCTTACAGAAACTAGGAAGTCACTTACAAGAGCAGTCATGGCTTCCATCGTCATGCGTATCCTTGCTTTGATTCAGATTCATTTTTCAGTCGTTGTTTTCATTCAGGGTGTGAGTGTTTAGTACAGCTAAAATATTACACCCGTGCCCCAAATCGACATATTGTCTTGTAACTTATTGGTTTGATTAGTGTTTAGTTCCAAATATTTTTTTTGAAAAACATTATTGTTTATCGATAATTTTCCTAGTCACTCAAATTCAGAAATTTCACAAATTAGCTCAAAAGTTTTTTAATTAATGATGAAATATGGGTAGTACAGGAGTTGAGATTTGAAAGGGGATTCTAGTCCATTTCAAAATGTTAAACAGATTTGTTTCAGACTTTAAAGAGTTAAATGTTGTTCGATAGATTGTATAGATGGTTCAATCATTCGATGCTCATGGTGTCACCAAGAGCTTTGTTTGCATTCATTTTATTTTATTTTTTAAATACGCAATGTTATATTTATTTTTCATTTGAATAGTTTTTCTATTTAATAAAATACAGAGAGGCAAAGAAGTCTAGTAAGATCTTACCGAAAAAAAAAACAAATAAAAAGCGTGCTGCAGATATTTAAGCATGGCAACGCTTGACCTTCTGAATGTTAGGTTAGATTTGTGTAAGACTTTAAGAGTAAGAGCATATAGTTGCCGAAGAGATACGCTATTAACAAAATAATGACACAAAAAAGTAAATTCTCATGAAGATAGAAAAAGGATTGAGAGTGAAAAATGCAGAGATAGTGGCGTCACCTATCACAGAATTTGTTGTGTTGATAACTTTGAAACTAGGGAACAATGGCACAAACCCTTTGAGTTTTATATTAGGTACATGATGAATCCGTATCACTGACAAAACATAAACTCAAATTGTGACCATCATTTGGGAATATTCCCTAATGAGTATAATATGTAAATGCATCGTAACTCATCAGAATGCAATAGAGAACAGGAAAGAAAAAAGGTATATGACGATAACTTATTATATGACGTAAGTAGGAAGAAAACGAAAAAGGAAATATTTTGTTGGTTGGCTTTTTCTTAGTATCACTATAATTACGTCTCTTGCTTTTTTGTATTTATTCTCCAATCGTTACTCTAGGTAAATATATAAATAATAGACAAATTTATTTTACAGTATGATTGCTTTCTTGAATGTTCGATCACTAGAAAACGATTGATATTTAAATTCTTCATATTTTCTTGGCTAGCGTTGACCTATTTTAATATTTTAGAAGCAATAGCAAAAGTCAAATCCGACAATCATCGCCACATTTAATAAATTAAAACAAAAATTAAGACAATAACAAGGTAAGATTTTGGGTATGTGGTGTGGGTGTGGGTGTGGGTGGGTGTGGGACACTGTTAGAAATGTATCTACCCACACCCACTCCCACACCCACACCCACACTCACACCCACCCAAACCCCACCCACATCCACACCCTCTAAATTAAAGCTATTGAATCAACGGTACCGAGTTAAGGATGATGAAAAACTCTCCCTATTCACACATATCTCAATCACTCTCTAAAGTGAACATATGGTACTTACTACACAAAGAACAAATGAATATTGTATTATGTGCAATTTCTAAGACTAGTCGATTTTCTATGCATCTTATCTACAATTGAGGAAAAGTTTATGATAAAAGTGTGCTCAATTACCATGTCGGTTTAGGAATGACAAGTAAAAGAAAAGAAAATTATTGCTCCTAATAGTGTCAATGGTCGCAGGGCAACATTTCCAGAACTTATGAGGGATACATCTGATTTATAAATTCGTGGTATGCGACTTGAGAAGGAACACAATATTTCTCCCCGGAGCACATTCCCCTCACGAACGATGTCATTCAGAGTAATTGTCTCGTTGCCTTCTTGTCCGATGAAAGTCACACGGGTTCCTATCGGATACATTCGATCGAGACTAATCATAAGTTGATCCATGGCAATGCGTCCAACGATCGGCAATCGTTTTCCTTCGATGAGGACGCCAACTGGTTTAAAATTTTGACGCCATCCGTCAGCATATCCTATAGGCACAGTACCAATCCATTCAGTTTGCGTTGTTGTATATGTGCCTCCATAACTAATCTTTTCACTAGCATTCACTTGTTTGACAAGATCTAACGTCGAATGAACGGAAATAGCCGTTTGAAGAGGAAAGGGAAGTGGATGTTCTGACGGTTGCTTCAGTAGACCAAGTAATGCACTTCCACAGCGAACCATATCAAAGAAGACTTTATCCGTATGAAGTAGAGTAGCACCTGAGTTCGCACAGTGAATAAGTTTCTCGGTTCGATTAGGGATGACTTCAAGAAACTGGTGAAAGCGTGCCAGTTGCCATTGAAAATAGCTTGTATTGGTCATGTCTGTAGCTGTAGCAAAATGAGTAAAGACTCCCGATAAGTTTAGTTTCGGATTGTGAGATACAATGCTGATTACTTCTTGCACTTCGTCCAATGTCTTACAGCCTATTCGATTTAGCCCTGTATCAACTTTCAGATGAAAATTAAATGGCTCCTGGGCAAGACGAGATGCCTCTTGAACCCATGCTAAAGAGATGCCTGTCACAGTGATTTTCGAGCGACTAGCCAACGATAAATGTTGTGGCGGAACATAACCCAGAACGAGAATAGGCGTATCTCTTGTTAGCTGGCGACGCAGTAAAAGTGCTTCGTCGAGCGTAGCAACGCCTAACCAAGTTGCACCGGATGCAAGAGCAGTGCGAGCTATTTCGACTATACCATGTCCATAGGCATTGGCTTTGACGACAGCCATTAGACACACTCTCTCACCAATGAATGTTTTGAGTTGATGTACATTGTAACTCACTGCGTCCAGATCAATTTCTATCCATGTTGGTCGGAGAAGAGAATCCACTACTCTAAAAGAAAATTTATGATATTAAACTCAACTCTTTATTGTTTCGGTTGGAAGGTATCTTTTCTAAAGCTAAGTATGTAATATATGCAGCATTTCTCTCGTTTTTCGTTCAATATTATGAAGGGTCTAAAACTCAATCTATCGAAGGTATTGATATTCAATATTGAGGATTAAATCGTAAAACGAAAAATTTGAATTCTTATCAGATCGAATACTTACGTTTGATTTATCATGGTCACATGCGTGCTGTTGAAATCAGAAACGTTGAACTTTGGTTTACTAAGTACCGAAGGGCACATAATAATCATGATCAAAATCAACCTGAGTGTGAAAGACATCATATTCTATCTATAAATGAAGACAATAATAAATGCATCGGATTGGTGATGGTATCAGATAACTTGATGAATATGTTTATTTAAGGTATGGACATGGAGTCTAGGTTGGGGTTCAGTTAGACCCGGAAATCTATACCCACACTCTCAAATTATAACAAGTAGAGGTTATACTAGTTTATTCCTCATGCATATCCAAACAAAAGAGAAAATCAACGTGAATCAATAAAATCAGAACACTCTATGTAGTGCCTAGGATGTTTTAGGTCATTTACAAAAATCAGTGCACATACGAATACTCAACAACATATTTAAGGGAGGATTCTCAATAAATTTATTTTTAAGTTTCAACACTTCGAACAATAGCCAAAAAACATTTCTCCTCAATCGTAGACTACCCAGGTCGAACTCACCCCATCGGATCCGATGGGAAGTCGTCGGAATTTGTCGGAATCCTTGGTATCGGATTCCGACAGGAAGTTGTCGGATGTCGGAAAGTGTCGGATTTTCAGGGTTCCGACAGGATGCTGGCCATTCCGACACTTTCCGACATCCGACAACTTCCTGTCGGAATCCGATACCAAGGATTCCGACAACTTCCGACGAATTCCCATCGGATCCAATACAATCCGATAGTTTTCTTCATAGGATCCGACTGTCGGATTGTTCGTCCTGGGCATGTTTATCTTGTAATATACGATCACTGTGAGAGTCAACAATTTTTGATTCCATATTAGTGATTAATCTCAGAATGAGTTTATAGGGATGAATACTGCTTGAAGCATTGTTGAACAAAATCTTTATGTTTGACCTAGATCGAATTTCCAGCACCAGCTGTTAATTTTTAATTACTAATTTTTGTGCATATTTATTCAAAGAGCTAATACTGTCCCATTTATCTACTCTGAAATTCAAAAAAAAAACTAGCTCCTACAGCTCAGAAAAACATTAGTTTCTTAAAATAACGTATAAAAAATATCCAGCTGAAATTCTAGATTAGATTAGTTATGCCACTAAAGTGTTAATACTTTTATATATTGTACTATATATCAAGAAACAGACAGAATTCTATTTTTATACATATAATATCAACATGATGATGGATCACAATCTTCATATTTGTGTGAAAATTGCATGTAAGATCTTTAAGAAGTGTTGACAGACTTAATAGGCTACTTCGAGAAAATTTTTATTAAAATAACTCATATCTCAGTAAGCAGTAAAACATTTCCTTCTCATGTCCTCTTACAATATTTTTCTGTGTTCAACTCATGGACGTAGATTGTGAAAATATCAAATGGATGTTGAATTACATTGACCACAAAATACGTAGAATCGAAGAAGATAACATTTGTAAATCATCTAAGATTAAGATTGACAAAAGTTATAAACTGTTTGTTGGTGCAAAATAATCTAGTTGATTGTTCTGTATTGTCTGTCAATTCAAAAAGATAGAAACTACTACGAATCGTCATCATATTCTATTATTGATTGGTGACATGTACTTATACAACAGCTCAAGGCGACTTGATTTTATTTTGATGAGGTAAATTTATATACCTAAGCTACTAGTATTTACGATAATGAATTGTTGTTTTTTTTTACACAGACAGAATATTCTTATCTAAGTTAATGCTTCGAATTTCTATTTTTCTGTACATAAATCTGATTTTGATAGAGTTCAAAACTTTACGTCTACAATGATAGTTAAAGACGAACTATTTCAAAATTGCCTTGTCAACTGATTACTAAAGTTGAATTCATATTTTTCCTATCTGAAACATCAGCAAAATGCATAGATTCTGTCATTTTGAAATGCGAAGCAAGCAGTACTTGTTTTTATTAAATTTTAAAAGATCTCAGTCATCAACTTCAGTTAATGATACCATCCTAAAAATGTTCATTCTTCAGAAATTGAAACGTTGCCACAATCATTTTTTGTTGAGGAATGAAATGTATTCGTTTCTAAAATAAAAAGGAAGATTTTTAATAATATAACTTGGATCTTCGTCGAACCAAAACTGAATCTTAATATGTTCTTGTTTTCGTTGAGATTTATCTAAAACATGAGTCGAAAACGGAATGTTTGGCGTCAAAATGAACACGAACTAGTCTAGATCAATATCTGAGTTGAAGAAATGATAGTTATAGCAACAATAATCCATACAATAGAGAAGGCACATAAATGACAACTTGAATATCGAGTATTATTAATCGGACATCATTTTAACTCTTATTACCTACCAGATATTCGACNCGATTGAGCAGATTAAAATCGATTGTCCGATTAAAATCCGATTTTAGTTGGGTGAATCAAAAATAATTGATTGAGTTGATTGATTTTACAATCGATTATAACATTTTAATCGATTTTAATCGGATTCTTCTAGAAAAAGTAGAAGCTTTGTTCGAAAAATCGGATTTGTCAGTCGCTAATCAAAAATAATCTGGATTTTCTTCGGAATATTTTTCACTGGGCAGTGATGGTGCTTTTTTCGTTGTTTTTGCATTTAAAAAATCGATTTGCGTCTTCAACGAGATCGGGTGTGGGTTTTTATCTCATTCATATTCATATCCTCACCCAACTTTGGCTCATCTTGTGTCGTTCTTTTAGATTATTTGTTAGACTTACGAAAAAGTTAATGGAAAATTTAATTCATATTTATAATTCATTTGTATCAGTCTCTTATGTTTTCGAAACGCAATCAAAAGGAAACTTCGTGATATGTCTGAATAAATACTTTTGTCAAAATCTTTCTACTTGTTATTTTTCTTGTTATTCTTCAGTGAAGGAATAAGATGAATGCGAAGAGTTCTTATAATATGTATTCAATTTGAAAAATAATAATTAAGTCGAAAATTATCAATATTTCATAAACTTACAACGAAATTGTTTGATGCTTATGATGATGTGGGTATCATTTATTTGAGAAAGAAATAATGTGCGACAACAATTATGGGAGAGTCATGTTTTAACACAGCTCCACAATTAGATCTTCTTACAGATAACTAATCGATTTGAACTCTGTCAAACGTTGTTCATATTTGAACGCTACTGATTACTCCAAATCACATAACAATGAAAATAAGTGTCTGTAGTCTTTAGAAACTGTAGTTTATTATTTTGAATATGATTTTTTTCTTCTACGTAATCAATCGTTCTCTTTTTTTGCTTTGAATATTTTACAGTTGCTATGTGTAGTCCTTCCTAATGGAATGTATAGTTGGCAAGAATTGAAAAAAAAAGGAAAAAAAAACGAGGCAAAATCAGGCAGAAGTAGTACATAAAAAGTTGTTTTGATGTCAAAATAAAAAACGAATCATTCGACAAAAAAACAAATCTATCTGATATACACAACAGTCATTCTTGGAAATTACTCTGTGTATTTGGTTTTGAATACTGCAATTTGGTGAGTCACTTATTAACATGATTTCAAAGACAAAAAAGGATATTTTAAAAGTCATAAATAAAGCTAATATACGATTGGAATACTGATCACAGAAGATTCCGATGCAACTGAACTTGATAGCTACGATTGGCTTTAGTGAAGTCACCTTGTTGCAATCCTTTTTGTATCTCATCCAATGCATTATCTTTTAGTTAATACAGACTAGAACCGAGTGATTAGAATACTTTTACTTGAATTTTTATGAGAAAAAGTATAAGCATAGTATGATGAAATAGGCAGAAAAATGACTGCATCTATAAACGAATAATTTAACAGAGTGGAACACCAGCTTAAGGAATACCATATTTTTTTGGGTGATAAACATGTTACTAAAGAACTAGCATGTCGTGTTCGTTTTTGTATTTATTCAGTTAAATATTGTTCAAAAAGAGGGCTGACAATTATAAAATTATGAAATAAATTAATTAGAAGATGACAGAAATACGTGATATATAATGTACTAAATAGAAAATTAAAGGTGTTGTATTTGTCCTGTGCTGTCCTGACCTGTCCTGCAGGACGAGACTAGAAATGTTGTCCTGTCCTGAGAGTGGCAGAACCGGTCTTTTAGCAGGACAGGACGGAAAAAACTTGTCCTGTTCTCGTCTCTGTTTCCAGTTAACACTATTGTAACTTGTTGATACCATATAATATCTCCTGTCTTACATCGTTACTTTCAATATTTCTTAATTTTTTATTTATCTCTCGAGGGATATGTACCCTGCACATCACCATTTTATTATCGGTAAACATTTATTAAAATATATTCCGTATAGCATCGGAACCATCAACTGTCAGAACTTCAAGTATGAATATAGATTCAATTATTTTCTCCAGACCATCGGAAATACTTTTCAAAATAAACTTTTCAAAAATAATATTCTCATCTTACGAGGAAACGTTCCCAAGTGATTAAAAGCTTTTGAGCTCATATCGTACCCATTAGGTAGGGGACCACTAGATTACAGAAACCTCCAAAGAATTCGTACCCATATTGAGTTTTGACAGAGATATCGAATTTTTAGTGGATTTTTCCTGCTGGACCCTGGTTCTACAGCAAAAACATATTTTCGAATTTCGACCTGAAACTTTGCCCAAATGAAGGTCTTGA